GATAACTGTTCTAGCAAAGAACTATTTTATTATATGTAATTGACTAAAAAAATTCAAAAAAAATCTACAATTGTTTTTGTTCTTTTGTTCTTTTTTTATTGAAAAAAAAATACTTTGTGATTAAATATAGAAAGCAAGCATTGTAAATTTTTTAGGGGAACTTTCACATACAGCTATCAAAAATTGCCAAGCATTGTAAAATTTTCAGAGGAACTTTCACATACAGCTACTAAATATTGCCTAATTACTCTCAATATCTATAGTTTGATAGTTACAATTCGTATCTACATATTATAGGGTGGAGAGAAGTGAGCGAGAAGGAAGAGAGTGGGAGAGAGGTGAATTGTATATGTATATTGATTAGGTTATTGTATATTATACATATATATATGTATATTCTGGCGAATTATACATATACAAATGTTGCTAATTATACAAACTCGAAGTCAGCCCGCATAATTAATGTATAATGTTAATCGTGAGTGATGATTGTAGGAAACTATAACTATGATAAGTAATTAAATAGTATAAGTTAACTTAATCCCGTAATTTTTCCAAAGCCATAAATGAGCTTGGCCCATTTTTGGGGTCTTTTGGACACATTTTTCTGCTAGGACCTGCTGTAATTTCATTTGGGGCTTTGGCCCATTTTTCATTGTCAACTAATATACACCAAGTGTATATATGATGTATACAACATGTATACAACTTGTTCTTGGGCTCGGGGACCCCTTTGCATTTCAAAATGATTTTATTCTGTTTGAATCTTTTGAAATTTTAATAACTTTTCTTAATTTCTTTTAAAAAATAAGTGACAATTCTATTTGAAAAATCAATGTCTCTTCAAATCATAAGTTAGGTCGATTTTTTTAAAAAAATAACACTCCCGCCCCACCTCCACCCCAACATTTTTCAAATAAATTAAGTAACACCATGATACCACTCTCACTTCTCACATTAGAGCCTTGTAAGCATCACATCACAGTCATGTGAATAGAATATTATTATTATTTATTTAGTTATTGCTTATTCACCTTTTTCCTTAAACACTTTAAAATTCATATACTAATCAATCAATTAATTAGAAAATGCATTTTCTAGGATCAGAATTTAAAATATGGACCCTCATTATTTTTTCTAAAAAAAATTAACATGTTCCTTCAATCCACCCCCCTCCCCCGATAAAAAACACACTCTTTCTTCTTTGTTGATTTTCATCATTTCCAGCCTTTGTTATTTTTTTCCCCATCATTTCTAGCCTTCAATATTTTATTTTTTCTTCATGATTCATTAATTGTTTTAAGAAAAGTAGTATATATATACTACTTTTTTTCTTCGAAACCTCTCCATCACCCATAATCTAATTGTGGAAATGGTAATTTTAGCTATATTTTTCTTGACAACTGAAATAAAAATAAAGATTGTCTAAGAAAGTTGATAGACACATAATTTTCATCATAATTGATAGAATTTTAAATGAGCTATTCAAAATTCAAGAATGTTAACATTCAATAATATGATGTTGATGCGAAATTTTGTGGACTAATGAAGGATTAGTGAGGTGAGGGATGATGATGCAGGAAGAACTAACTAATACAGAAGAACATAAGTATAAAGAGTGATCCAAAGAGACAAATATTTGGGAAAGACAACAAAATAAAGAGAAAAAAAAGTCGAAACATTCTTTTTTTAAAAAAAAGGAACCTACAAATATTATTTAAAAATTTAATTTATAAAAATAAAGTAAAAAAAGTTATTTATTGACCAATGAAAAGTGGCATAGGTATTATTTTATCATTAGATTTCTTTTTAATTATTATTTCATACACTTATAGGTGAGTGAGTGAGTGCACTCACTGATATTTATTAAGGGGTGTTTTAAATGTTCATATAGTTGAGTGTTAAAGTAAATTTTGCTATCATTTTGAAGATGATTTATTATTTTTTCTCTGAAATAACCACAAAGAACAAACTAGCACTATTAAAGAAAAAAAGTAGGTTTATTTAAAAAAAATTAATTTTTTAATTTATCTATTTCATAATTAATAGGAATAAAATGGTAAGTTCATTATAACAATCGTTACTTTCCTAATAGATATGCTAATTTAAAAGTGAACATACTTAAATTGTTATAGCAGCATATGTTTTGAATTTAACATTCTATTAGTACTTCTTACGAGATTTACCTCAAGGCTTAAGTATCAAAGTCATAGAATTTTCTGTTTGCACACGTACTATAAATTTAACATACAATTTTTTTAAGGTAAAAAGTTAAAAATATTCATTAATTTTATTTTATTGGTTGAATATGTCTTAATCGTTAAAATAAAGTTAGTTTTGTCTTTGTCGTTATTAATTTCACTATATATTCCTCTTATTTGATGGAAAGCGCCAAATCAATTTAAATTCTCCAATTTCAACTTGGATTACTCAAAAACTTGAATATACAAATGTGACTAATTATAGAAACTCGAAGTCAGCCCACATTATTAATGTATAATATTAGTCGCTAGTAGTAATTATAGCAAACTAGCTAGATGAGTAATTAAAAAGTATAGGTTTGCATAACCGCGTTACATTCCCTATTTTTAGTTATATGCAAATCATCATGTTAACATTATATTAATATTTTATCTATTTATTTATTTATACATAGTATTAATTAATAATTTGATTATGTATATTTTAATTTAATCAAAATAAAATTTTAATTTAATTTATTTATTAGATAGTTAAATAGTTTCTTTCTACAAAATAATCTTAAAACACATTCATACTTGCCCTTTTTCGTATTGTTGACTCTCCAAAACACTTCTTAAAAATAAATAGCCAAACACAAATTGTTTCTTTTTTTAACAAAAACACTTTTCAGATAAGTTATTTTAAAAATGACTTTTAGAAATTAACAGTTTTTAGCAGCAATGTCAATCAAACCCTTAGTGATATAGCCAATTGATCAAGATATTGTCATCCCAGATTGAATGTAGGATAGAAATAACATCAAAATTATAGGAAAACTAATTTCAAGTATTTTTATTAACCGGAAAAAACCAACCAAATGTAGTATCAAGAAATCATATGCATTATATTTGCAGATTATTTTTCTTCGTCGTTGTCGTTTAGTTCACGAACAAGTTATATTGAATCATAATGTTTTCTTGTAATTGCATTTCTACTTGTGATCTTAATATATTATGTGGGATATTTTTAAAAAATATGAAATTATATTTTTATTTTTAGCGCTAAAATCATGATACGAAGAGTAAATCGTACAACATTATTTAGTGATATAGCCAATCGATCAGAGATCGTCATCCCACTTTGAATGTGGCATAGAAATAACACTAAAATTATAATAAAATTAATTTCAAGCCTTCTAATATATCGGAATATACTCAATCAAATATAGTATAAAAAAATCATACGCACTATATTTTAAAATTATTTGCATGTGTAATAATTTGATTCGTGAACTAGTTATATTGAATCATAATGTGTGAATATAATATGGGAATCACATTTTGACGAAATTGTTTAATGAATATATTTTTTACAAAGTGTAATAACTAAAATTTATGTCATGCTTGAGTTAATCTTACCCAAGTTAAATGACTCATCTTGGACGGAAGGTTAGCTTACTGTACACATCACTTGACCACAGTAGTTAAGTATAAACATGTATACAAAAGGCACATACTTCCACTAATTAGATTGGTATATGTATTCTCACTTTTACTTTTCAATTGCTGAAAAACAAACTTATTCACATTAATTTAATTTACCATAATTAACTGATTTAATGAATTAAAAATATGCATCAAATACTTAACTCTATTATATAGTTAAGAAGTGATGGAATATGAAACAAAGACATATGTTACGTTAATTGCTTGGATGTAAATCATCCGATGCAATATGTAAATTTTCCGTGTTTTCAAGCACAACATCCTTTTTAATTTTCTCATATAATAAAAATTATTTTAAAATATTTTATCTTTTATTATAGATTTGGACATTCCTTCATTTATGAGTTAACTTTTGAGATTGAGTTAGGCTCAAGATCCATTTTTACATGGTACGAGAGTCGGATCTATTTCAATTTCTTTGTCGAAACCCCATATTATAGTGTCCACGCTCCAGTTAACAAAGATCTTGGTGTATAATTTTCACATTGAAAAAGCGATAGAATTCTGTCTCCTTATATGAACTTGAACAATTCTTCTTTCATATGCTGACTTTTCGGGTTGAATTAAGTCACGATTCATCTTTACATTACTGCTTATCGGTTATAGGGATTAAAGATCCTTTTTTTCCCGTTTGATAAATAACCGTGCCAAAGAGATCATATGTTTTCAACAGCCATTTAATAAAATAACCGTGCGAAAGAAATTAAATCATATGTTTTCAACAACCTTTTTTTACCACATATGCTAGGATAGAATTAACATAATTCTCAACTTAAAATTACTTTTAGGTAATTTAGGATAAGAGGACAAAAATAATATCGACCCCCGTTATATAACCCGGTTAATTAGTTTATAATTTAAAATAGAAAAATATTGAAAACACTCTTGAACTTAGTGTAAATTATTAATTTCTTCTATGAACTATTGACAACTTAATTTTTAGTTCACTAACTAAACTTATATACACTATTGATCAACCACATGACTTATCAAGTAAGTTTAAACTCTTGTTTTATTAATAAAAATATTGAAAGCACTGCGAAAATTATTGAGGGATGTATTTCACTTACAAAGATGGAGGGTATTTAGGAGAAGGTTAATTTTGGAGAAATATTGATTGACCAAATCAAGATGTGACGTCATTAAATAGCTCACAAAAAATTGGTTTCTCCCACCGAGCCATGAAACACTCTGTTTACGCTCATTTGGACTTGCAGCTTGAATTTTTAAATGTCCACACGCTTCATGACTTTGGACCAATTTTGACAAATGTCACCACCGGCCCTATTTTCCTTCATCAATACATACATATAAATATCTAAACTGTTTTTAATAACTCCCCTCCAATGGTCTTAATTATCTCTTGGGTGCACTCTCATCATAATAATCCTCTAATTCAATATCCATGGAAAACAATTCTACTCATGATCAGCCAAAGTTCAAAGGAGTTCGGTTGAGGAAATGGGGGAAATGGGTTTCTGAAGTCAGATTGCCTAACAGCCGCGACAGGATTTGGTTGGGCTCCTATGATTCTGCCGAAAAAGCCGCAAGGGCTTTTGACGCTGCACAGTTCTGCCTCCGCGGGCCCAAAGCCAAATTTAACTTTCCTGATAGTCCGCCGGATATATCCGGAGGACAGAGGCTTTCGCCCGCGGAGATACAGGCTGTAGCAGCTAGATTTGCGAATGATTACTCGCCGTCAGTGGTACAGGAGATACGCCGTGATGATCATCATCATGATCACGAGGGCAATATTGGAAATATTAATTCACACGTGATAAATATGGAGAAAGATGAGATTTCACTGTCAACAACTAGTTGTGATAGGGTGGTCCAAATGGGCACTAGTAATACTGTTGCTGAAATGGATTGGGCTTTTCATAATGATATGATGGAAAACTATTCATACAATGCAAGTGGGCCTCCACCTGAATATTTTTGTGATCCATATTATATCGTCGGAGGAGGAGGAGGAGCAGGAGTACTCGATAATTTATCGAGTAATCTCTACTCACCACCACATTTTCCGCAAAGAACAACTCCTAGTTATGACGATGATGATACTGGCAATGGTGACGATGAACATTATTCTCAACAATCCTTCCTATGGAACTTTTAACTATAAATTGGTTAATTAAGCAGCAGCATATTGGTACCTACGCTAGTTGAGTTTTGTCCACTACACGTACGTAGTAATCCTTTCCGGTTTTCTTATCGTAATTGTTTTTGCCGGAAAAATATATAGTATATATATATGCAAGCAGTGATATATGAGCATGCAGGTCTTTATAAGTAATATCTTAGTTAATGAATAAATTGTTGTTTTTAATTTAAGAAGGATTTACATGATCTTAAGAAGGTCTCATTGATGGCCAGATTATATATATATATATATATATATATATAATCAACTAC